AATCTTGTAGAAAGATTTTTCATTGGGACATTCTCCATGAATCTTTCAACTTAAACGAGAATTAGCTATTCTTCAGCAAGAAAACCTGTCCATGGCTGTCTATTACACCAAGCTTAAAGGAATCTGGGATGAACTAGCGTTCTACTCTGTAATTCCGAATTGCACCTATGGAGCATGCACCTATGGGGCAGCAAGAAAGCTTGCTGGTGAAAGGGAGTGTGAACGTGTTTACCAGTTTCTGCTGGGGTTGAATGAAGTCTTCAATGCAGTCCGCTCTAGCATCCTAGCAATGGAACATTTGCCATCGGTCAACAAAGTGTATTCCCTTGTGAGCCAAGAAGAGCGTCATCAAAATCTTGTTGCTCATCCTACCTAGAATCTTGATGCCGCCGCAATGCATGTTGTTGGACAAAATTCGTCCTCAGTCTCCAAGAACTCTCGACCAAAGCTGTGATGTGACCATTGCAAGCGCAATAGCCACACCAAAGATCGGTGTTATGAACTCCTAGGTTACCCACCTAATTGGGAAGTGAGGGGGCGATTTGCTCCAAAATATGGCAATTCTAGTTGTTAAAAGAACTATCAAAAACCATGAGCCAACTCCAACACCTCCCAAAATGACGATGCACCAACCTACACACCAGTTTTAGCTCTTAATATGGATCAGTACAATCAATTGATTGAATTACTCAATCTTGATAAGAAATCGGTCTTGTCTTCGGCTAACTTTGCTGGTAAGCTATCTTCTCTGTTTAATCCTCACATTGATACTTGGATTATAGACAATGGTGCATCTGACCATATGATGCCCACTAGCTATTCATTGGATGGGTTCTCCACAGATACCACTACAATAAAAACTGTCCAACTCCCTAATGGTGCTTCATTGCCAGTGCAACAACAAGGCATAGTGATCTTGGGGCATGATCTCTCCTTACATGGTGTCTTACAATTGCTATCAGTTAGTAAACTGACTACAGACATGTTGTTGCACTGGCTATCAGTTAGTAAACTGACTACAGACTTGAATTGTGCCATTATGTTTTTCCCTACCTTCTATGTAATGCAAGACCTACACTTGAAGAAACTGATTGGAGTGGGAAAGATGCGAAATGGATTGTATCACTTCATCAACCCCTCCTCCTCTTCTACTGCCTTACATACTGCTATCAACAAAGATCCAGAAATCTGGCATCAAAGACTTGGACACGCAGTTCTGATAAGCTAGAGCTAATACATAGTTTGGATGTTCATTTAGATCCTTCTTTCTATTGTGATTCATGTAATCGAGCTAAACTCACTAGACTGCCTTTCCCTTTTAGCACTACCAAGACAACTGCCCCTTTTTCATTAATTCATTGTGACATATGGGGTCCATATCGAACACGAACATGTTCAAGTGCAAGGTATTTTTTAACAATAGTGGATGATTTTACACAGGCAACATGGGTATTTTTGATGAAATTCAAATCAGAAGCATCACAATTTCTTATCATGTTCAGCAATATGGTGTGCACTCAATTCAGTGCACAGGTTAAGATCATCCGATCTGACAACGGAAAAGAGTTCTCCTCTCAGCCCATGCAGCAATATTATCATCTACATGGGATTGAACACCAAACTTCCTGCGTTGGCATGCCACAACAAAATGGTGTGGTTGAGTGCAAACATAGGCATCTGCTCGAGATGGCACGAGCACTTCATTTTCAAGCTGGTTTACCTAAGACTCCTTATGAGTTACTCTTTGGCAAGACTCCGAACTATGAATACCTTTGAGTATTGGGATGTTTGTGCTATGCCCGTTGCCATTCTGGTGACAAATTTACTTCCAGAGCAATTAAATGTGTTTTTATGGGATGTCCACATGGGCAAAAAGGATACAAACTGTTCAGTCTTGATTTCGGAGAGTACCTCATTTCTAGGGATGTGGTCTTTTATGAATCTCAATTTCCTTTTCTTCATGATTCAAAATCTAATGAAAGCATCTCTGGGCCCGTGATTCCTTTGCCTGCTTTTGATGATTTGGGTTCAGAATTGATTCCTTTGCCTGCGCCCACTGAGCACATGGACGCCTCAACTTCTCTCATGGACACCAATCCAGAGCCTATTGCCTCTCATGATAGCATCAAGTTGCATGCTTATGTGCCCATTGAACCCACTAATTTGACTGAACCTACCACTACATGTCCAATAGAACCTCTCACACGTCCCCATAATTTTGTTAAGCCTCCATCGCGCTTACTTGACTACATTTGTCCTACTTTAAAACCCACTAAGTCCAGCACCAATCATCCCATATTACACTTCATTTCATCCAAACCTTTTCAATCATCCTATATTGCCTCCATTACTGCACAACAAGAACCCACATCCTATGTTGAGGCCATCTCCAGTCCTTATTGGTGTCATGCCATGAAATCTGAACTAGAAGTTCTTGACCGAAACCAGACTTGGGAACTCACAGACCTACCAGCTAGAAAAAACCCCAATAGGGTCTAAGTGGGTTTACAAATTGAAGTACAAATCTGATGGGACGATTGATAGGTACAAGAATCGTTTAGTCGCCAAAGGTTACACACAGACTGGGGGCATAGATTACAATGAAACTTTTGCCCCCATTGCTAAATTGACTACAGTGCGGTGTTTACTTGCTCTAGCCTCAGTACGCAAATGACATCTTCATCAAATGGGTGTTGACAACGCCTTTCTCCATGGTACGCTGCATGAAGAGTGTACATGATTCCTCCTCAAGGTTTACTTCAGCCTAATGACACTCGGGTTTGTCGCCTGAAAAAGTTCATTTATGGACTCAAACAAGCATTCCACAACTAGTTTGAGCACCTTGCCACAACACTTAAACACTATGGTCTTACTCAGTCCTTGGCTGATCATACCTTATTCACATCTTCCCCGTCAGGTAGCTTTCTAGCAGTCTTAGTCTATGTTGATGACATCATCATAGCAGGTGACAATCAGGTCCATATTGATAGTCTTAAAGCCCATCTTCAAGCCTATTTTCCCATTAAAGATCTTGGACTTCTTCGGTACTTTCTTGGGATTAAGATCTTTCATTTGGAATCTGGCATATTCTTATGTCAAAGGAAGTACACCCTGTATATCCTTCATGAAGTTAGTATGCTTGGATGCAGGCCTAGTAATTTTCCAATGGGCCAACAACACCAACAAGCCCTTTCTTTGGCTGATGGACCCATCATTGAAAACCCAAATCAGCATAGACAGTTAATGGGCTGCCTCATTTATTTGACTGTTACAAGACCCGACATATCTTATTCGGTGCATATTCTCAGCCAATACATGGCTAAACCACAATAAGTCCACATGGATGCAGCCCTTCATGTGCTACGATACTTGAAATCCTCCCCTAGATAGGGCATACTTCTTCCTTCCAACAGTGATCTAGTGATCCGTGCCTTTTGTGATTCAGATTGGGCCGGATGCCCACTAACACGACACTCCACTATTGGATTTCTTACCATGCTTGGTGAAGCTCCCTTATCATGAAAAACGAAAAAGCAACCAACAATAGCTCGGTCATCAGTAGAGACTGAATATCGTGCAATGGCCGCAACTACCACTGAATTATTATGGCTTTGACAATTATTTCATGATCTTGGACTGCCACATACACAGCCTATGCGGTTATAATGTGATAACAGTGCCACACTCCATATAACCAATAACCTAGTTTTCCACGAACGCACAAAGCATGTGGAAATTGACTACCATTTTGTTCGAGAACATTTACAGGTGAGACGAATTGCAGCACACCATCTCGCATCCCATCTTTAACCAGCGGACTTGCTCACTAAAGCATTAGGAGCTCATTGCTTTGCTTTCTTATTACCCAAGTTGGGCATGATCAATTCCCATGATCCAACTTGAGGGGGCATATTAAAATGTTAGAAAGAATTGTACAACTGGTAACAACTGATGACAACTGGCAACAATTGAGTTTGTTAATTGTTTGTTATAGTAGGCAGATGCCTTCGCTGTAAATATTTAATCGAATGAAATAAACAAAACACTTTTGAGCTTTTCTACAACTTTAGATCCATTGAGTTGAAGAACCAAGTGGAGTGTAGGTAGATATTGTAATCGCCCAAAGTGTAGTTGTCCTCGAGTTGCTTGCTTGCGAAGATAAGGCGTTGATGATCAAGAGGTATGCCCTCTTCGTCTTGGATCTTCACCTTCACATTGTTGATGGTGTTTGAAGATTCAACCTCTAGGGTTATGCCCTCTTTGAGTAAGCATGAACAGCCTGAAGAAAGCCGAAACTTGATTTCCAAAGGCTTTCTTTCTTTGTTTGCTTTGCTCTGTTGTCGCCATAGTCGGATTTCCCTTGGTTTGCTATGCTCTTCCATTGGTAGCCACCACATTTACTCTCCGATTGGAGACCTCCTTGCCATCGTCGGATGTCCCTGATGTCCCTTGGCCCTCATCACCGATCTGATCAGAAGGTTGCACCCATTTTTGTTGCAACAATGACGGGCTGATGGTGACAAGAGAGGAGAGAGAGAAAGAGAATGGGAGAGGAAAAATAATGAGATAAGAGAATTGTAGAGGAACCACCATTGCTAGAAATTGCAGTGGTAGTATCAACTCGACGAACAACATCTTTAAGCGGCAACATTTCATCAACCCAATTTCAAAATCTTGGTCCGGTCAAAACACGTAGGAAACAAATCATATCCAAGCCTTTAGAGATCCTGGGCGCCAGTGGGGGTTTAATGGAAGAGAGAATAAAAGAATTACTTTGAAAGGGATTTAAGGAAAGGGTAAAACTGATATTTTAATCCTTCCGTTAATATTTAACGATTATGATAATTTTTGAAATAGTAGGATACCATATGACAATAGTAAAAGAGTAAAGGTATAATTTAGTAAATTAAATAAGAATAAGGATAGTTTAAGAAATTTGTCCTATTTATTTTGGATTGTAGAGACGCAGTCAGTCTGTTATTAGATCGAATCCAGAGAGCCGGTCCAGCCAAGGCCCAAGGGCTGAAGCCTGAAGGCACCGCGAGGAGAGGACCGCGAGTCCGCGACCATGTTTGGCATCTCTCCCACGAGGCCCCGCCACAACCCACAACTGAAATCAATTTCAGTCTAGGGCTTTTTCTCCGCCACCGTAGTACCGAACTCCACTTTGAGTTCAGAAGCGCTCTAAATACTGGCATATGTATATAGACACAAAGAGCAAGCGTGCGCTCCTTTGTTTTCATAATCTCATCATTTCTTTGCCTTCTTTATATTCGTCTAATTAGCTTCTTGAGCTATTCGGCCATTTTGGATTCTGGGTTTATGAAACATTTTGAATCCATCACCTGGGGCAGTTGCAGGAATGGTGGTTCCTGCCTTTGAACCTCTGCGGCCTCTTCTGGGCATTACTAACCCAAGATGATTACGAAGTGGCCTCGTCCATGCCGCCTCTTCTCCTGCAGCAGCAACAACAACCAAAGCTTAGCTTCACTTGTCACCAGACACCGAAGGACATTATCTACATGTCCTCTCCCAGTGGACGTCCCTATCTCGACCTCAACGACACTTTCCGACGAGCATAATGCACTCTGTCTGTCCTTGGTGGAGCAGCTCATAAGGCGAGGTCTGATATCTGCCGCACAGGGCGTCGTTGAGCGCATACTCAAGCAGTCGTCATCGATACCAGTCGTAGTTTCTACCATCGCTTTTGCTGCATCGAGGAGACTGGTCCTTAATTCCCAGAGCTACCAAATTGCTATTTGGAAACTTGTGAGTCTGGGCCAGCCGCTTATGGCTGAAGGGTTGTACGTAGATGCCATCAAAAGAAGAGGTATTGCTTCCGACCCGTCCATATTAATTTCAATGATCATATGCTACTGTAAACTAGGAAAATTACGGGAAGCAAATGCCCATTTGGACCTACTTATTCAAATGGGATCTTTTCCCTCTAAGGCGGCATGCAATATGCTGCTTGGCGAGTTTTGTGCACGGGAAAAAATTTTGGAAGCATTTGAGTTTTTTATCCAAATGGTTTCTTCTGGAGTTTTTCCGAGCTTTCGGTTCTATAATTTTCTGATCGATGGGCTCTGTTTCAAAGGGAACCTCGATGAAGCCCTCCAAGTGTTCAAAACAATGACAAGGGCTGGAACTCGGCCCACAATTCATTTGTACAAATCATTAGTGTATAACTTTTGTAAGAGAGGCCGGACAAAAGAGGCAGAATCCCTTTGCGGAGAAATGGAGTCCCATGGTCTTTTCCCAGATAGGGTGATTTACACTTCTCTTATCTACGGGTATTGCAAGGAAATGAAAATGGAAATGGCCAAGGCTGTGTTCAAAAGAATGCTTGAAACAGGCTGGGAGCCTGATTCTTATGCTTATAACACACTGATGTATGGCTATTTTAGGTCTGATGATTTTGAATCTGCTAGGAAGGTATACAAAGAGATGGCAGATCACGGACTTCAACCTAATGAGGTGAGTTGCAACATCATGATTAGTAAACATTATCGGGATGGGAAAGTGGATTTTGCCCTGAAGATTCTGAATGATATGCTTAGTCTCAAATTGCTACCTACTGTGCATTCTTACACAGTCTTGCTCTCTGCACTCTATAAGGAAAATAGGTTATTAGAGGCAGTTGAGTTGATCAATAAGATGCTTAACAATGGTGCTACTGTGGACCATGTAGAGAACTTATCCCTAATTGATAAGTATCGAGAGGGAGAAAAGATTTTGTATGTAGCAGCTGAACATGGATGCAATATAGATCCTCATTTGTTCTCAATATTTGCCTCTTCTCATCCAACTGAGGCTTTGGAGCAAGATATTGAACATCTATTTAGTAAAATATTGAGAAACAACACGTTTTCTGCAAATGCAGCTTTCAATATTTTGACAAGTGTCTTGTGTGTAGGAGGTAAAACAGATTTTGCTTTGCTATTCTTGGAGAAAATGTTCGATTATGGGTGTAAGCCTTTTATTTCTACTTACAACTCTTTGATAAAGTGCCTCTGCCAAGAGGGATGGGTTCAGGGTACTGAGTTTGTCATGGGTCTTATGCAGAATCAGGGCATGGCTCCCAATCTAGCTACTTATTTGATAATGGTAAATGAACACTGCAAACGTGGAGACTTGGCTTTGGCCTTTGAGGTTTTGGAGCAAATGTATGAAAGGGGATTAAAACCAAGTGTTGCAATTTATGATTCAATTATAGGTTGTTTGTGCAAAGAGAGAAGATTGGTTGAAGCTAAGTCTCAGTTCATTGAGATGGTTGAATCGGGTATTGCACCGGATGAAGTAGTTTTCAGAACATTGATTAATGGATATTCCAAGAATGGAAGAGCCATTGATGCTTGTCGTTTGTTTGAGGAGATGAAAAATTTTGGCCTTCGGCCAAGTTCTCACACCTATACTGCACTTATAAATGGCTTAATTAAGAAAAATATGACTGAGAAGGGATGCCTACATCTTGGTAGAATGCTGAATGATGGGATTGAGCCAGATACTGTGCTTTACACCACTCTAATCAATCAGTTTTGCAGAAAGGGAGAGTTTGGCTTTGCTGATGCTTTATTTGATCTCATGACTGTGAACAATATTAAACATGATCTGGTCACATACATTTCATTATTCAGTGGTGTTTGCAGAAGTACCTCACATGGCAGAAGATACTTTGTTTTAAATGAAAAGTCAGAAAAAGCAAGGGACAGACTTTTCAATATGCTCTATCACAAAACTTCAGGTCCAAGTCATACTTCATTTCCAAGGGAAAATATTCGAAGAAATTATTACAATTCGGCTGAAGGAATTAAAAGATATGCATCGATGATTATGGAAAAGATCAATAAAGCTGGGCTAATGCCGAACTTGTTTCTCCATAACTGCATTATCACTAAATTCTGCAGGGAGGGTAGGGTGCATGATGCTTATATTTATTTGGAAACACATGATGTTAGACCAAATCAGGTGACTTACACGATTCTCATTGATGGGCATATCAGATGTGGTGAAATCAATTATGCAATAGAGCTATTTAACAAGATGTGTGGAGCTGGTTGTACTCCAGACAAGGTTACATATAATACACTAATTATAGGTCTTTGTAATGCGGGAAGATTGTATGATGCCTTATCACTCTCGCATACAATGCACAAGAGGGGCTTTTTCCCAAGTAAAGCTTCATATGAGAAATTACTCAATTGTCTTTGCGCTAGCCGTTTAAGTGATCTTGCCATCAAGCTATTTGAAGAAATGCTCCTCCATGGCTTTGTACCTTGCAGTTATAACTATAATTGGTTGCTTTGCATTCTATGCAAAGAAAGAAAGCTACCTGAGGCTCACATTCTGTTAAGTATGATGCTCAAGAGAGGAAAGCTTATGGATGAAGTGACAAGGAGACATTTGGTGGATGCATCTTGAGCACAGATAGTTTTACTTGGCTTTTTATGCTACAGAAAATTTCTTTGTTCAAGAAGGCAGGTGCTAATTTATCACAAACAGTATAAAGCTTCCTGAAGGACTAATCTTGCTGGGTCGCCTCTAAGGTAATTTATCAACTCTTGACTTGCTATGTTCTTAACTTTTTCTTATTGTCATGCCTAGAGTTCCCATGGACATTGGTGATCTTATTCACTCTCTTTGGTTATGCCTTTTGATGCAATTTAATTAGCCTTTTCTGAAAATTTCTTATAGAACTGCTTATGAAATAGAAAAAATCTTTGTTTCTGAAGAACTTAATGGTTTTATGATTAATTATCTTCATTTGGCTATTGCTACAACAGTAGGTTTGATTTGATTTGCAACCTTTGTTAATGTTGACAATGTTATGGATTATTTATGCCTAGGGTTTGGTTGTTGCTCATATGTTGTCAACATCCACCTTTTCCTTCTCTTCCATATTTTTTTGTTCTGTTTTAAATATTCTATGAAATTAACGTCATTAGTTATAGACTGCTGAAGTAGATAAGAGTATGTGTCCTTTTATATTTTATTCCTGTTTCTTACAGCAATTCATAAATATAAGGGCAAAGTATAGGGATCTCTCCTGTTCTTTGGGGGGTTTGACACATAGCCCCCTTTACTATTTTTTGTGACACTTAAGCCTCTTGGTACTTTCATATTGTGACAAATGACTTCTTCCATCACCATTCAGTCAAAGGAGTTGATGGTATATACCCATATGCAAGTCACATGTATTGTTAGACATTTCTAAAATCCTAAAATGACCTTGCCTTTCTTTAGAGGACAACTTTGCTCTTTACTCGTTCACATCCATTTAACATTAATATCTTCTAAAAGTTATATTTCTAGTCATGATCTTCTAACTAAAGATATAGACAGTTAAATTCATGCCTCAAGATCAGCCAACTAATATTGAAAATCCAATTAATGTGCAATGATTGCACCATTTACATGCTTGTGAGTGCTTTCACCATAGTCTTCGTAGTACTATGGGTCCCTGAGACCAAAGGGAGAACTTTGGAGGAAATCCAGTGGCCATTCAGATGAGTTTTTGTTGGAAGGTCTGGGTTTCGAATTTCTGTATTTCACATACTGATTATTGCTCTTATGCAGCTAGGTTATGGCAGTATTTCTTCTCATTGTTTGGGTGAATGACGGGGGAAAGATTGCTGACATTCCACAACAGTGCCAAAGAAGGATCTTCAGGTTTGGAGCAGACTATCTGCTATCGGTTTTTGTCTCTAATTCCGATTTGTTTTTGGGGGGATATGGAAGTAGTAGTGAATCCGAAAGGGGATGTTCTTGAAAGACTTAAGGCCTTGAACAGAAGTTTGGTTGGGCGATTTGTGAACTCTGATCCAGATGTAGAAAGTGTTGGTGATTGGGCGAGCACTATATGGAATCCAAGAGTGCCATTCCAGGTTAGGAAGCTGAAATCCAGATTTTTTCTTTTCACATTTGGTTGTGAAGCAGAGGCGAGTGATATTTTGAGAAAAGAACAAAACCAGTTCCACTCTCCAGAGCTTAGAATCGGATGTTGGAATTTTGAGAAAAGGCATAAGGCCTTGAACAAAAGTAGTGAATCCCACAAGCTTGGTATGGTTAAACATTTTCGGAATCCCTTTGCACACCTAGTGCTTCCATACCTTCAAAGATGTGGGGAATGTTTGCGAGAGATTTTGATTTGTGGATTCTCAAACGATTTCTTGGAGGAATCTTGCTGTCAAGGTTCAAAATATCAATATGCCCGATACGCCAGGCATAGAGGCATATTGGGCAGTATCGATAGCATTTTTTTAGTTTTTTTTTTTTTTTTTCAAATCTGGTTCAAAGGGGCCAGTTTAAGGTTCGTCCACCCCTTGAATGGGTCGAAACCTTAACACGATACGTATTGGCCAACATGGTCCGATACGTGTTGATACTTTAAACCTTGCTTGCTGTCACTCGCATTCTAGTTGAAGTCGACGACATTCATTTGGTTCCATCTTCTCTTGTCCTCCAATTTGTTGGTGAATGCTACGATTTAAGACTTGTAGTAGAAGGCTCATATCCGTTGAGATGTGTTGAAAATTTAGACTTAAGAAGGGAGGAATTAAATAGGAATTCACAATATATATATATATATATATATATATTGGAAATGGTGGGAAGATGGATAAACAGGTCAAAGGAGGACGCGAGGTTAAAGATAAAGGCATTTTCAGAATTAGAGAGTGATTGTACCACTGTAGGCGGTTTGATGGATTGCAATAATTATAATATTACTAAGTCTTTGGGAAATGGAGTAAGTGATAGGGCCCACTCAGTTTTGCCCGAGAAAAGTATTGAAGTAGGAGATCCTTTTGAGGTGGGAGGAGGTGGTGGTAGTGGGGGGGAGTATTTATTGGTGGGACACATGGAGGGCTAGAAGAAAGAAAGTATGGGGCAGGGCAAAGGAGTGGTGAAGCTTCGAGCATTAGAAAAAGAAGGCATATTTCGAGAGGGAAGGGGGGGTTGAAGCCTCAAATGGGGCCCACACCCTAAATGTACAAAAAGTAATAACGGAAAGGTTTCTAGAATCTCGTATCTAAAGGTTTGTATGAGATTTTCTATTTGCTTCAAACGTCAAAAGTATAGAGAGCCAAGGAGTAGAAAATCAAGGAACAAACGAGAAGGGAGGATTGAAATCTGGGTTTGGCAAATTTTCAAATGACTCTAATGGTAAGAAGATTGTTTTGAACAAAGAATTGGAAGCTAATGTAGGAGAAGCTATACAAAGTGTTTCTGATGCTGACTACGTTTCCTATCCTTGCGACCGATTGGTGGATGATTCCAAGGTGATCTTAGAAGTAGAGGAAGATAAAGGGGTGGAAGCCGTTTTAGCCTAGGAAGGTGATTGCGGCCCTAGCCAGAAGCATGTGAAGGTTGTTTGGGAAGGGTGTGATGAAGCGAGTTTTGGGTTGAAGGAGTAGGGAGAGGATGTTGCGAGGGGGTGCAGAGGATGAGGTGGGAAGAGTGGTGGAAGTAAGAGAAGAAGGGAGATTGCCTTTTGTTGCGGGTGGTAGGGACTATAATCATTAACAACTGACTTTTCTAGTTTTGAAGAAGTGGTGATCGGGAGATTAGGGTGGATATAGGACAAAGTGGGAAGATAGATGTAAAGACATCGAACAACATAGAGAATGTGATTGCCATGAAAACTCGGGGTTCAAAAAACACCCAAATTATTCATGTAACCAAAGTCTTCTCTCGTCTGAAACTTGATTTGGTGGGGGCAGGTCCTACTAAGAATTTCAAGAAGGTTTATAAGAGAAAAATGTGCAATGAAAGTTGGGTTGGTTATAGATGACAGAGGCGGGTTTGGGTTAATTGCTCCGAACCTCAGGTGATTGACTCTAAGCAAGGTGAGGAGACGGTTATCGTTGGGACCACATCTCCCAAGGAAGTGTTAAACCCGGTTTCTGAAGGGAAGTTGACAAGGGAAGGAGTTCGACCAATTAAGGAAAAAGTGGATAAAAATGTAGAGATTGGCAAAAAGATTGGTCTATTCTTGTGGGGAGGAGACGGTTTTGCTAGGAAAGCTTTTGAGGAATTTGAATGGAAAAGGAAAGAAGAGAAAGTGAAGAAGGTGGGTATTAGGGGAGGGGGAGAGAAGTGGAACGAAGAAGACAAAGGTCAGGAGGAAAGGCCCAAGGAGGAGTTCGAGTAGAGGATAATCTTGTTAGAATTATGTTTCTCTTGAAGATAGAGGCATAAAGGTTTTTTGATCCAGGGGCAAAAGTTTTTTTGTGGTTCTCTATTCCGTTGTGTGTAGTCTGTTTTAAGATCTAGAATGTTTTTTATGTTTTTTTGTTTTTCTTTTGGTGGTTGTGTTGATGTCTTGGTGTCCGTCTTCTCTCAGGTGATTTCTTATCACCTTACTTATTGTACTTCTTTCTTTCTCTTTTGAATTTAATTCTTACTTTTCAAAAAAAAAAAAAAAGATTTCACATAATCTAGTCCATGGAAGTGGTATTGTAAATCATGCAACAAATTTTGAAAACAAAAATGCAGACCATGTAAATGATGTGCACAAGTAACCCAAAGATCTTGGCCATCAAAATGTTCTCTTAATATTAGTGCATTATTCTCAACCATCCAAATGACGTAACAAGATTCAACTAATCTAGGACATCCAAAAAATGTCTCTGATTTACACAAAAATCTAGGTGGTGTTTAGTTGGGCTTTCTGAACAAACCTTTTACCCTTCCAAAAATGAAGATGAAGTTTGTAAAGTCTGTTTGGTAACCTTGATCTCCAATCCCTCAACTTTGATCTCACAACATTGAAAAATGATCAAGGGGCGTCTTCTAATTGCCTTATAAAAAACAGTTGAATTAGAAAGATTTGCTGGTTTTAGAATAGACGTTCAAGACAAGCAATTGTCTAAAGCTTCAATTGAAGCTTTGTGTTTATGATCTTTTTTAAGCTTCAACTTCTACTAGGTTGTGGCTTTCAACATACATCTCATTCACACCACTGTCACCACATTGGCAAAACATGGCCAAGCATGACTTCTGCCATATTAATAGTTTTCAAGGTGCCAAGGCGAGGCTGGGTGTCGGGGGCGCCTTGTCGCTTAGTCGCCTAGCCGATGGATCTTTTTTTATATGGAAAACATAGATCCTAGGGTAGTTCCCTAGGTACCATAGCCATATTTCCTTAATAATTATTCATAATTTTCATAAGAAAAGTATAGAGTTCATGTTAAAGTACAGAAAATCAACATATTCATGAGAAGAAAAAAAAGAAGGAAAAGAAAATTCAAAAAATATAGGGGCTGAACCCTTATTTCTGTTATAGGAAAGTAGTAGTAGTAGTAGTCCTTGCATTTTTTTTTAATGCCATGCGCTTTTAAAACACTGGTTTAGCCTTATATCAAGTACAAGGGGTTGTATGGTTTAGGGGCTAAACAGCCCCCAAACAGGGGAGGTCCCTGTAATTTATCCTAAATATGGTCATCTAGATCTACATATCTTCCCTTGTAATGGAGGCATTCTGGAATTGTTTTTTCCTCTCTCTAATTTATGCCTGTGCATGTTTAAGATTCTTAAGTAATGGATTTGTGAATTTCAGTTGACCATGTGACTGCAAACACCATGTTTTGGAAGATGAAGATTGGTGATTAGTGGTGAATGATGGGCCAATGCTCTATCTGCAAGAAGCGTCACTTCGCTGGACAAACAGGTATTTTAACAGGATTTTATCTTGGCATTCTTTCTTCCTAATGTCTTATTATCTTTACTTATTTTGTATGTTTCCTTGATTGAGATGATTTTATTAGGTCTTTTTCCCTCTTTGAAGATCTTTTGTTGTATTTTATGTTGGCTATGCATATATGATTTTGCACTTCGAGCAGCTATTTAAAGAATCTGGACTATTTCTTGTTCTTTATTTTGGTATGACCTTAGAATTAGCAATTCAACTTGATGCTTTTTTATGAAAACTGGATAGGTAAAAAAACAGATATTCTTGGTCAACACCGTCCCCTTGTTTTGCCAAACCATCTACTAGCCCATTAGCTGATCTTGTTACCAACTAAGTGCAGCTTTCAGTCCCACTATCATCTTCTTATGACTTGAAGGATTGCCAAACAATTCTGCCTCGGTTGAATCTCCATTCCTAATAGGTATTGAGTGCATTGTAATAATGTTTCGTTCCTCATTTTTGAATACTCCTCTAATACCTTGCCTACCAAACCTGGATTTCCTAGTCTACAACCATCAAAGTTTAATTTTATGTAGCCTGGTCTAGGAGAAATCCATTTAACGATGAGGATTGCTTTAGATGAAGGCGAATTTGCCACCTGTTTCCAATTTTTGATGATATCATCTGTTGTGAAAGGCGAAAAAAATATCCAAATTCTTCACCCAATGAGAAACTTTGATGAAATATTTTCTATAATTTCCTCAACAGACCTCTCTTTGTTACTGAAAATATGGGTATTCTTTTCTTCCCATCCACATCATAACACAGCAGCTTTCATGCATCTTCATATAATCTTGCCTTGCTTCTTTGGTGGAGAGAAGTGAGAAACATAAGCAAAGAACATTGTCCTTAAGTTCTCAGGCAAAGACCAGCTGCCACCAAATTGTGAGAGAAAGAAATTCCAAATAGCAGTCACAAATTGGCAGGAGATTAGCAAGTAAAATGTGCTTTCCCATTTGTTTTGTAGAGGATACAAGCATGTGGTGAGAGACACCAAAATAGTGTTTTCCTCTGTTAGTTCTCACAGGTATTAATTTTGCCAAGATATACCTGATACCTCCCAACAGAATGCCCTCATTTTGGATGGTACAGGACCTCCCCAGATAGCTCCCACATGGAAAGATGGGATAATATTAGGTTCAACAAGGGTTTTGAAGAATGAGGCACAGGAGGAGCCAGAGGTGGTTAGAATCTAAATCCTTGTATTAGATTTCCTAGGATTGATGAACCCCCTCCTAAGTAATTCAAGGATGTAATATCTGAGGTTTAACGATCCCTTACACTCTGTCTTAAATCTAAATCCCAGTTAATCCCATTAGAAGAAACTGAGAAGTAATTTCTAAACCAGGCAGTCCTTGTTACAAGATAAGGCCTATATTCTAGGGAATAGCAAATGCAGGAGCTGAAGAATCAAATTTGGAATTTTCTTAAATTTTCTGTATTTTTTGTATATTTGGACAGTATGGGTATTTTCGTCATTTTAACTAGTTCTGTGTGGACCTGGGCTATAAAATCTTGTTATTCCAGTTTAGTAGGGCTTGTCTTTCAATTTTCAGTTTATTTGCATTAGTAGATAGAAAGTTATTGTGTTTCTTGATGCACAAGACAAGGAGTGGCATTTTTGTAATTATGTGAACAGTATTCCGAGCCATACAACTCCTGTATGGAGTGGTTCCCACAAACCCTAGAGTGATTCTAGGACACCTTGGAGTCATTCTTTAGGATCTCTCTCTCTCTCTCTCTCCCCCCCCCCCCTATTTCTGTCTTGTGATAGCTTGTTCAAGCCCTACTGCATCAATAGCTCCATCAAGGACTGATCTCCCCACCATACATCCTTCCAGAACTGAGTTTTGGATCTTTGAGAACCTCATACCTGATAAAGGGCAGGAAGCATGGAAATAAAGAAAAAATGGCCTTTGTAGGGCCTGCCTCCTACCTTTGAGTTTTTGTCTGTGAATACTTACCATTTTTATTATGATTTAGTTATATAGGAAATCAACTAAGAACTTCACCTGAAGTTAAATCTAATAGATTTCACAAATTCCAACTAAAAATCCTCACTTTCCAAAATTTTCTATTTTAAGATTATTGTCCTTTTGTGCCAAACCATCTAAGAACCCTCAATATTCAACTCACATCTTTACTCTTTAGTTTACTATCCTAAACACTGGTCTGAAACAATTTGAAGAAATTCCATTGCAATATCAAGGTATTGATTTTTTATTAGAAATTTATGCATATTGCATGATTTTGTGTAGTAAAATAGCTTGTTTTTTTGAAAGGTAAAATAGCCTTCTAATGAAGTTGATACTGTTTAATCAAGTCATACAGCACCATAACCGTAGATAAACTTTCATCCACCTTCAAAACAGCTAACCCTAATCCTATAAGCCCAATACTTAGACCCAAGCCTTGAAGAATCATTTCCTTCTTCTTCTTCTTCTTCTTCAAAAATCACTTCTATTTAATTTCCCTCAATTATTACCAATCAAGAATTGGATCATATCAATCCTACATTAGTCTTACATCTTTTGGTATCAGAGCTGCCACTCTTACACCATAATCATATTTTGGGAGCTATGGAAAATGAACTACATGAGCTTGAACAGGACATTCAAAATTTTAAATAACTCGCAAGTTGTAGGTTGACCTATCTCCTCTTAAATAGACGTCCTTATCTCCAGCTTAACTCTTCTATTAGAATTTCTCGTGCCCTCTCCCCCAGAGCCAAATTCATCTATGGCATAGCCTTTGGTTCTATATCTCTCAGTTCTTGGTTGTCATCTTATGACCATGAAAGAAAGTTGAGTTTCAAGTCCAAGCATGGTTTTAACCCTTCAGCAGGAAAGGTGAAACTTAGCCATGGTCATGAGACATTTTGGAAGTGTTGATACCTGGAGATTTGAAACTTATTGTGGAGAGGGGTTCTTGCACATGATTTGCCAATATGAAGATCCCTCTGGTGAAGATAAGTTCCACTATTACTGTATCATCCAGGAGGATATTAGGCTTTGTTTGGTTTGTAGGAAGGAGCGGAAAAAAGGAATATTCTCGAATATTCTTCCCTTCTGGTGTTTGGTTTGTGGGGTGTAATGAGATGGGATGCGAAAAAGGTGGGATTACAGTTTTCAATTCTTGAGAAGTGGAATCACACCATTTTAGTGTGAAACAAGTGGGAAAGGAGGAGGAAACTTGTTTAACATCAGCTATTGATCATATGGAAATCTTGTAATGAATCTATATTTAGTGGTACACAACCAAATATAAGACTTGTTGCTGCCAGGATCAGGAGCCAAACTGAATATTTTATTTATGCTAATATGAGAAATCCTAGATTCCTTGTTGTATTAATAGGCAAATCCAATGTATTCAATGGTATAGACCTCAACCAGGATGGATCAAGCTCACAACTGATAGAGCGCTTAAGGGGCATAATGGAATTGCCAGAGCTGGGGGAGTGTTCAGAGATCACTACAGAGAGTGGCAAAGAGGTTTCACTACTGGAAAAACTTCTATTGATGTTGCAGAGGTATGGGCAATTATAGAAGGATTAAAACAAGCATGGCAAAGAGGGTACCATCAAATCATCGTTGAGCAGACTCGTTATCAAGTGTCCAAAGCTTATAAGGGAAAAAATGTCCTAGTTAGCTATGCTTCAATATGCTCAGTTCCATCCTGAGGTTGTTAGGTTTGGACTGGCTGGTGTGGATTCAATACTGCTATATTTTATTGAATAAATGTGCTGATCTGCTGGCTAATCAAGCCATTAGGCTGAATTATAGGTTCTAGTTTATTTTGAATCCTTCGTGTGATATAGTGTAAATTATGATGCAGATAATATAGGTATAGGGTTGTCAATGGATTGGTTCTACCCAACTGACCAAACCGAACTGGAGCAATTATATCAATTTTGGCTATGAGATTTTGTCCCGATTAATAGTTGGGTCATTCTGGTTCCTGCTTGTTCCAAACTAGGGGTGTAACCGAGTCGAGTCGAGTTTGGATGGCTCGAGCCCGTCTAGAGCTTGACTCAAAAACTCGGAGCTCGATCAAGTTTTGAGTTTCATACTTGAATTCGATTTGAGTCAATACTTGCAAAATTGCTATTAAAAATTATAGATAAATTAATATTTAAAATATTATAAATAAAAATATATTAGAAAACTTGATTATATATTAAAAATTACAAAAAAGTTAATATTATGAAATAATATAAATAAAAATGTATAATTTATCAAAAAAATATAAATAAAAATGTATTATTAAACTTGATTATAAATTTATAAATAAAAATATTAAAAATAATATTTTATTATAAGCTCAATTAAGCTCATGAGCTACTCGAGTCGGGTATTACGAAGCTCAAACTCGGATTGACTAACTACTTGACTCATCTCGATAATCTTCAAGCCAAATTCGAGTATTTAGTGAGCTGAGCCTAAGTAGCTCACAAGTTGGCTTGGCTCACTTACACCCTTATTCCAAAGTCCAAACCAATTCAGACCCGAACCAATTGTTTTGTTAATAATATATAAAGGTTTCTTAGTTTTTTTATAATTTTTATTATATTTTCTGTCTAAAAGGGTAAGTTTGATATATAATATATAAGATAGTTTTAGTTAAAAACACTTGATTTATTAACATCACTATTTTACCATCATTTTTATTTAAGATTATATTATGAAAAATCAAGTTTTAATTTGTTATTTATATAAATAATATCATATATCAGTATTATTGGGTTTATTGGGTCAGACCTGATTGTTAGTCGGGACGGTTCTGCATCTATGATTTTGCCCTGATTAATAATCGGTTTGGGACTAGGACACCCTGTCCCAATCCAGACCTGACCCATTATATAGGTATAAGTAGTCCTAGATTGTTTTAATAGTTTGTAGGGTTGTAGTTCTTTTTCTTGTGGAATAAAAAGCACCGTCCTTTTGGTGTTTTTAAGAGTTAATACTAGCAAGGACCCATACGGTGCATGGGTTTTGTTAATCAAGGATGAAACGATCAAGAAATATTGTTAATTATTATTATTTTATTTTATATGCAAATAAATTGCAATAACAAATTGGAATAGTGAAAGAAAATAACATAAATCACATAAATAACATAAATAATCAAAACATTTTCAAATAGATTGCAACATCAAAAACACAAAGAATGTACATCACATGATAACAAAATTGCAACAACAAATTGGAAACACATCAATCACATAAATAACATAAATAAAGCAAACATTTTCAAATAGATGGCAACAACAAAAACACAAATCATCTACATCAACTGACAAATTGGAAATGAGCTATGAGCTAACCCAATTATTTAATGGCTTAATAAAAAATATCATCTTTAATAAATACTGTTAATTAATTAATAATACTGTAAATAATAATTTTTTTTTTTGATCAGTGAATATTCAGATTTATTAAATCAAAGTCAAAGATAGTACAACTTAGGGAGAGGCACGAGATGCTACCTCCCCTTTAAAGAGGGGAGATGGAAGAAACCATTAACCCTTTAGTTAAAGAACATAACAAAGGAAAAAGAAAATTACAATGAAACCCGAGTAGCCCCTTGTTTAGCAAGATAATCAGCCAAGGCATTGGCCAATCTACCCAGCCACTGAACTCTAACTGTCATACCCCTCAATAGCCATTTAAACCTTTTTTAAAATATCCTTAAAGTTCCAAGTGACAGTACCGGGGTCAGCCAACCATCCTACTACCACCTTGGAGTCTCCTTCAATTATTAGGTTTTGCACTCCGAGTTGATAGGCAATCTGTACCCCCTGTGCCGCAGCTAAGAGTTCAGCCCTCACAGAGTCTCCTATTCCCACCGGTCCCGAAAAAAAAGGCAATAATGTTGCTGTTCTCATCTCTCAGTACACCACTAATCCTAGACGGTCCTGGGTTACCCTGACTACTTCCGTCAAAGTTCAGCTTAATAAAACCCTCCATCGGCGGAGTCCAAGTTACTTGGACTCTAGGCTTCGTAGAGGAAGTGAGGGCAATTGCAGACCAATTCCTCATTAAATCCTCAAAGGAATAATCTTCAAAGAGCTTTAAGGATTTCAGCTACAAAATAGTCCTTGTAACAATACACTCTTTGACCTCAAGAATACTTCTTTCCTTCTCCTGAAAAATTCGGGAATTTCTCTCTTCCCAAATAGTCCAAAGGAGAGCTGCTCTTATACACTTCAACATGACTCTCCCTCTTCTTGTGGTCCACACAAAGGTAGAAGGGGAAAACAGCAAATTTACCTCAGCTGGCAAGTTCCACCTACACTCAAACAAATCAAATACCCAATTCCAAAATGGCTGCAGCAAAAGGACAAGAAATCAATAAGTGGTAACAGTCCTCATTCTACGCTTTGCACAAAATACACCAGTTAGGAGATAAACACAAAAAAGGTCTTTTCTTCTGCAGGTTATCCCATCATATTGATTTTACCCAAGTAAACTTCCCAACAAAATACAATAGGGGGAATAGGCCTAGACCAAACTTCCTTAACTGTGGGATAGCCCGAGGAGAAAAACTGGAGCAAAGGGAATTAAAGAAAGAAGCACAAGTAAACAGCCCTTTCGGAGTCAAAGTCCAAATCCTCCTATCAGGATTTAGTGGGTCTAGGCAAGCAGAATCAAGTAACAATAGGAGCTCAGAAACTGATAAGGATTCCTCATCCCTCAACCCTCTATGGAATCCAAGGTCC